GGGCCTTCACCTGAGCTACAACCCTAGCCCTTTGTACTTTTGAGACAAAGTCTCGCTAAGTCACCAAGCTTTCCATGCCAGCTCAGACTCGCAGTCCTTCCACCTCAGATTTCTAGAATTCTGGAATTACAGGAGTACACCAACATGCCTGGCTTAAATTTTAATTTTTGATTTGTATCAGCCAAAATGTACATGATACAAAATTTTGGTTTATTAAATTAAAATTTCTAAATAACATTTAAAGCTGGTAACCTAGTTGTATTACATTTGATGACATGAAGTGATAAACTTCCTTTCCTGATCCAAATGGCAGTAAATATTTGTTAATAATATCTGGCTGGATTTGCAATTTCAGGCCAAGGAGCAGATGGGGTTTAGATGTGTAATATAGACTGTCACTGCAGGAGTGGGGCTCCTTTTCCAGTCGCTTTCCTGGGGCAGTTTAGACTGTTAGAACTGCACTTTAGAAGAGCCTGGTTACTGTTTCCATGAACAAGATAAAATGGTGTTTATTCTCTGTGGATCAATACTGTTTTGTTTGAACTTATTGAGTCATTTAGAGACACATCAAGCAATGAAAGCCATTGTGCAACAGTACTCAGAGTACTGCCCCGCTTTCTAAGGGATGGCAATATTTTAAGAGACAATTACTGAAACAGATTATTAGCATTGATTATGTGGTGAAATGAATGTATACCAGAGCTGAGTGTCCCATGGGTTTGAGGCAAAAGGGTATTGGTCTTTTAACTAGGAGTTTTGAGCAATATCATCTAAAATAAATATACACTATAGGTGTTTTAATATTTAAACAAAGAAGTTTAGGTCACCTCTTTAAACAAATAGAATAGACTTTGTGATTAATCAAAACTTCCTTTATGCAGGTTTCTGTTTAATGGTATTGTTTTGACAAACAGCAGCTGATGGATACATTTGGAAAATCTTAAGAGATTTTGCTGAAGTTTTTAAGAGATTGTTACAAAGAGAAAAATGGAGAATTTTGCTGAATTGCTAAGCACTGGGGGCTTTGCTTAACTGTTTGGCTTTATCATTTTATTTAATCTTTACAAATTTTTGGAGTAAATTTTATGCCTGTCTCACAACTGAGGAATCTGAAATTCAGGATAATCAAATAATATGCACAAATTTATAAACAGAGGAAGTTTTGGAACAGGCATTCCAACCTAAATCCATCTAGAGAAAAGTCCAGCATTATTTTGTAATTAATTGTAAGAGCCTCTCAGGTAGGCACAGTCCTGTTTGGTGGAGATGACAAGGGTCTATGGTTCCTAGATGTGTTCCAGTGTGATGATCTCAGAAGTGATGTTGTTTCAATGATTCTGGTTGTAATGAATGGTGGATATAGGCTATAAAAATTATTATTTTAAAATCAGTTTTCTGAGGAATACTAATTCTGAGAGACATTAATAGCTTTTCCTGGAAGAACATGTTCTGTTGTAAGGTAAGCACAAGAAAGAAAACATCACCCATTGCTCTTGTTCTATGTTCACAATGAGTGAACATAGCTATACACACAGTCAGTCCCTACACTATAATGGTTACATCCTTGTATTCTAGAATCAGACCACTCAGCTGGGGAACCCAGATTTGCTGCTTGCTACCTGGGTGACAATGAGCCTATTTGGTAACTTGTCTGAAACTCAGTACTTGCCTCATATGTTTGTTCTAAGGATAAACGTATATAGCAAGTATTTAGAAGAGTCCTTTACAATATAGTGCTTAATATATGCTATTACTCAAACAATCATACAGTAAGAGGACCTGATTTTAATTGTCTAATACCCAGGATAAAAATTCATTGGTCTTCTGTACAGCAATAATAAAACTAGTGGAGAAAAACAATCAGGAAACTGATTGCATTCACAATAGCTTAGAAATACCTAGGAATCAATTTAGCCAAGTAGGTGAAAGATGTCTACAAGGAAAGTTACACAGCATGGCAAAGAGAAATTGAAGAAGACACTAGAAGATGGGAAGACCTCTCATATTCATAGACTGACAGAATTAATCTTGTTAAAATGGTCATTATACTAAAACAATCTATTGACTTCCTGTAATTCCCACGAAAATTTCATTGATGTTTTTTACAACAATGGAAAAAAGATTCTAAAATTCACATGGAAACAAAAATGATTCAGAATAGCCAAATTAATCCTAAACAAAAAGAGCAATACTGGAGCCGTCACGAAACTGATTTTTAAATTATATTACAAAGCAAAAACAAACCTGTAACAAAACAGCATGGCCCCAAAATAGACACCGACAAATGGAACAGAAGAGAGGACACAGAAACAAACCCCACACAACTACAGCCATCTGGTTTTTGACAAGGGGGCCCAAAACATATATTGGAGAAAAGATAGCCTCTTTAACAAAAGTTGCTAGGAAAACTGGATATCCATAAGTAGGAGATTGAAATAGATCTTTATCTCTCACCTTGTGTAAAAATCAGTGCTAAGTGGATCAAAGCCTAGGTAAAAGACCTGAAGCTTTGAACCTACTGGAATAAAGTGCAGGGAAAACACTTAGAACCACAACACAAGCAAAGACTTCCTGAACAGGAAGCACAGTAGCCCAGGAAATAATCTCAAGAATCAACAAAAGGAATTACATCAAATTAAGTTTTTGCACAGTAAGGGAAACAACCAGTAGAGCAAAAGGACGACCTATGGAACAGGAGAAAATCTTTGATATCTACTCTGCTGACAGAGGATTAATATATGTCTAGAATATATAAAGAACCAACAAAAACTTCAGACACACAAAAAAATAGCTCCATCCATAAATGGGTAAATGAAGAGACCTATGCAAATCAAAACTACCCTGAAATTCCATCTCACTCTAGCCACCCTATCATAAAAAAAAAAAAAAAAAAAAGAAAAAGAAAAAAGAAAGAGAAAGAAAGAAAGAAAAGAAAAGAAAAGAAAGAAATGTTGGTGAGGATGAGGTGAAAAGAAACTCTTGTACTCTGCTGGTAGAAATGTAAATCAGTATAGTCACTGTGGAAACTAGTGTGGATGTTCTGCAAAAAAATCTACAAATAGAACTATCAAATGACCCAGCTATACCACTCCTTGATATATACCTGAAGGAGTTAGGATCAGCATACTATAGGGATTCCTATATGCCCATGTTTATTGGGGTACAATTCATAATATGTGAGATATGGAACTACCCTAGGTGCCCATCATCAGATCAATGGATAAAGAAAATATGGTATATATACACAATGAAGTATTATTCATCCATAAAGAAGAAAAAAGTCATATCTTTTGCAGGAAAATGAATGGAGCCAGAGATCATCACGTCAAATGAAATAATTCAGACTTAGAAACAAGGATCACATGTTTTCCTTTATAGGTGAAATATTTTTTAAAAAGAAGAGATGACATGAAAGAAGAAGGGAGACTCTTATTAGACAAAAGGATGAGAACAACCACAGGGGAGAGGGGACTTATGTGATGGTATAAGAATAGATGTGAGTTAAATGTGTAATATGCAAGACACTAATAAACATTGTGTAACAGCACTTAACTTCATTTACTTGACTATGGTCACTTTTTGTGACACATTTATTAATACCCACTAAATATAGTGCAGAAAATGTTTAAATTATCAGAAGATTGATTAGTACGAGCCCAGTTGGAAATAACTATTCATTCATTTTTATACCCATTATGCCATTTTGTATTTGTTCATGACAGTTTCTTTTTTTTGCCGACTATCTTTTCTTTCTTCACATTTACTAAGTAATAAATCAGACCAGTAAAATATAAAATTTGTCTAAAATGTGTAGTCTCAATGTTATTTCAGAAAATATACTCCTTAAGGATGAACCTGTAAGTTATTTGTCTATTTCTTTGTATTTAGCAGAAGTCTCAATACTTTGATAAGTGAGTTTTTACTTCCAGAATTATCCTCTGATTATCTGCTCCCAGAACATTATGAAAAAATGTTAGATATCAGACAACACTTTTTTGATGCTCATGAATTATAAGTAGTATTAATTTATATCAATGTATGTCTGGCAAACATTAATCCTCTACACTGCACAAATAATTTTACATTCTTCATCTTGGAGATTCACCCTGCGCATGTATGAATCTCTGTAGTAAAGAAATTTAGTTATCATGGAAATTTTCTTCTTGGAACTTTCATAATCATAAAACAGAAATATTTCAATCAGAGAGTTTGGGAAATTTCTGACAGGAATGGGATATTCTTGATAAATGCCCAGATTTTTCTTTCTTTAGAATCATCAGATTCTAGTTGTCAATCACCTTTTTGGGGTGAACAGAATGATAATGTGAAAATATATCCACTGTAGCACAGTTGCCCAAACTGTAGAAATGATCTAATTATTAGCTCTTCCAAGGCTGCAATTTAATACACTCGAAGACAGTTTTGTTATTTTTTTTGCAAGAATTATGAAGAAATAACTTAGGACATTCTTTCAGTTAGCAGGACAATGACAGAGGAAATAGTAAGAAATCACCATTTTTTTTTTTAATGGTGGTGATAGCGGAGTGCATAATTAAATATATGAAATTTAAAGTATGATAGAAATTATGACCCATGCAGAGAACTCAAAATCTGTCAGAGATGTTAATTACATTCCTGTTTTCAGGGTCCTAGGATCATAACAGGCAGTAAACCACAACTCTCCTTGCTGTCCGATTAGAGCCAAATAAACTTCTCAGAACATTAGCCCCATTTTTGAACCCACAGGGCAGAATCTACTTTTCTTAAGTCTTAGAAATTTATTAAATCAAAGAGAAATTTGTAGTATTCTTTTCATTTTGAGATTTATGATTATTCCAATATGTTCTGTTGTTTCTTGACATAGAAACAAACTACACAGTTCCCTGGATTAGACTCGGTACTAGAAGACAGTAAAAGTTGTTTTCATATATTGTCACAAATACCACACTGCACACTTCCACAGACCTGACATAGAAAAAAGCAAAACACATGGACCATACCTGAGTAATTTCAGAGATCCCCACCCGGAAAAGGTTCCTTGATTTGGCGAATTCAACGTGTCACTGTGGTTATGTTCTAATCGTCATATCAAACTCCAAAGGTTCAGTGGCTTCAGGTTTGGTTTACAATTCCTGGGAGTTAAACTTTAACTCACCCTGTCTCTTCTGTCCATACAGCCCTTTGACCAGATAATGGGTTCTTACAACCCAAACAGAATTTACAAAATTATCTTTCGTGTTAGTTTACAGAATTAAAATGCATTTTGCATTAAAAACCGTAGGGGTGAATACTATTTTGAAGCTATTTTATTGATTTATACATTTAAAAATATAATGTATTGCAATTTGGGTAACTAAGCTTCTGTTTATGTTAGTTCTCTTGTTCGTTTGCTATGCCAAAGTGACATTAAGGCTAATATAATTGAGGAGAATAGTTCTGTACTTCACAATTTTTGTAGGACTGTATTACCTCCAGGGTGGAGTTTCAAGTACGAAGATAAATGCTGCCTTACAAACAGAAAACACACAAAGTGGGTAGATTAAGGCCAGCTCAGGTTAAGGAAAATATACTTCTTTTTATTCAAGCTACTCATTCAGATTTTAAGAGCCAGTTCTGTAAAAACATAATGATCAGCTACGTGCTGGGCTTATATGAAAGCCAATGCTATTGTTAATTGCCTGAAATCTCAGTGGTGACCACATGTGAAGAATAGAGAGACGGTGTGTTCAAAGATAGAAACTCTACATTCTTAATTCTCTAGTAACAACTTCCGTCTGTAGAGAAAATCCTAGATGGGGAAAAAAAAAAAAAAATTACAGAGAAAGGAGAAGAATAAAGAGAAGGAGAAAAAGTTCATGTTTCTATAAGAGAATATGCTTTCTCCTTGCAGCCAACTTGGAATGCAGACATAATGTCTGGGCCTCAATCAGCTGTACTGGTCCATGAAGTTAGACATTCGTGTTTTAGACATCAAAACAAAAAGCCAAAGGGATTCTGGAGGAGTATGGAGTCTTCAAAGAACAGCTGGCAACACCTATCTTAATTGATAGGAAAGGTTCCCATAATAGTTTCAAATGTTTATTTCCAAGGGGAAAAATGTAGGGCAATGGTGTTGAGTAACATCTATTGAATACTTACTATGTCTTGGTCATTGTTTTAAGCACTTTTTATGCATTGGTTTATAAAACCCTCCAAATAATCCCATGATGTAAGTGTTACATTGTCCTAGTTTTACAGATGAGTAAACAGGCAGAGGACAAACTGAAAAGCTTGCTCAAGTTCATACAGCAAGTAAGGAGAATTAGTATCTGAACGCAGATTTCATGCCCCTAACCCAGACTCCAATCACTGTATTAATTAAGACATGGTCATTTCAGAAGTCCAAGTCAAATTGCTTCTGGTTGTATCCTATACTGATTTAGATGATCCAGAATTGTTTTTGTCTTTCATTAATTTAATAATGAGGGTATAAATATATTACTTCATTGGAAAAACAAAATACTATAGACTGAGTGTCTTCTATAACACACATTTCTTTTTCATGGCTCCGGAGGCTGGCCACACAAATTCAGGGTACCAGCCTGGCCCCTCACCGTAATTCACCTAGTACTCATAAGAGTCAGTGGCAGTGATGAATTCTGTAACATTATTAAGTTATTGCTTTTTATTTTCTAAATCAGTTTGTTATAGTGATACAATTATATTGACTGGAAATAAAGCTAAAATAATGGATCAGCCTCTCTTCTTCTGAAGGCTGCTTAGGGAGAAAATTTGTGAATTTGGGGCAGAGAAGCTGGGACCCCTCTATAATTAGCATGGCGTGGCTCGCTTTTACTTTGTAAAAATCAACCAAGTTTAAATAATGCTTGGTAAATATTAATTTTCTGTTAGTTTATTCTGCAAATTACCAGGCATCTACTTTCTGCTAAGAGTTTTGGTAAGTGGATGACTATTTAAAATGAAAGTTGGGGCTATTAGTAGCTTATAGACTCAATAAGGTAGGTTGCATCCAACGTATTAAAAATAGAAGAGAAAAATCAACAGACTTAAATCTAGAAAGGATAAGAATTGTTCATGGACCTCTTTTTCCAAGAACCTATATACCTTTGTGGACTAATTATGATGTGAAAGGTATTTCTTATCATTGATCACAACTTTGGAAGTTGGCAAAATACTATGCTGCTCTTTAGTTAATAGACCAGATTAAGGGTACAAATACCCCAATCGTGAACTCACTATAGTTGTTATAATATTATGAATAAGAGGTACAGGATGCTAAACATAGCAGAAAATACAAGGCCTAACCTGTGTTTGGTGGACCAAATGGTAGCTGAGGAAACATCTCCAGAATATGAGATATCTGCACTGAGACCTGAGGGATGTGCGTATGGGAAGGAGTCATTCTAGTTGGTAGGAATAGCATATGTGGATACCCTGAGTTGGAATGAGTTTCACAAATTCAAATAACTAATAGAAAGCTGGCTGTGAGTCATAAGAGGACAAAATAGAGAGAAAGCAACTGAATCAGGTGGCAGCTCCTGAAGAGCCATGCATAAAGGTGCTGCAGTTTTCCATTGTTGTCCTGGGACAATGGGAAGTCACTGCAGGCTTTGAAGGAGAAACACAGAATCCATTTGTGTATATTCTGAGTGTACGGTGATGAATAAATTGCCATACGATGACATTGCTTTTCTGTCCAGTCTCTAGAAATTTGATATTCAGTTTCTGAATCTTTTATAGTTGTGTGAGGATATTTAATTCATTGCAGGGAGTATTCTAAAGAATGGAAGTGCCGTGTCAGGTACACTATATAGTGGAAAGCTTTTTCCTGATTACTGTATAGAAATGACACTGATCCAAGAGTCAAGACCTTGGGAATCCTGTACTAACACTGTAATTTATATGACATATACCCTTGAACAAATTCATATCCTGTCTATGTCCTACTGTCTTGGCCTTTAAAAAGGAAAATATCTACCTCTCTTATCTATCTTACTGAACTGACAGGGTCAAATCACTTGGTATATGTGAAAATAACATTAAAATAATAGAGTATTATATTAATAGAAAGTGAAATAATTTCAGAGCAAATTAAATCTACATCCTTCAAGGCTTTGTCAATGCAACTTGTTTTTATCTGTGAAACAGACTTCTAGGATTCATGTTTGCTCTTTTGGAAAGTCATAGCATTTAAACATAAATGTTCAATGTTATTTTTATGTATACATGATTTTGGAAGACAATGGAATTTGATTTAGTGGGTTAGAATCCATCTGTTCTCAGATGGATTAGTTCTCAGATGGTGTAGTTCTGGGTTTTAGGCTGTGGAAAATTCATTCCTTTTGTTACTAGGGCCATCTAGTGTTGAGTTGGTTACACACACACATACCCTCCATCCACATACACACTCAATTACATTTGGTTTTCCTGGACCATTTGAATGGCATTTTAATGTCACAGAATTGTAGGATTAAATGAGAATTGGAATTTATATAAGCCTAGAGTATAAACCATGGAAGGAAGTGGGTGCAACATTGACCCTGCTCTTTATACCTGAACTCTGCTGCCTTTCACTATTTGTTCCCTTTTACAGGTTCTCCTGTGTTTAATGAATGTTCTCCAAATTGCTTTGTACTGTTATCCTATTTCTTTTGTAAATCAGATTATCACATAATCTTCCTTCAAATGACCGTGCCATTACTCATTTATTTGGATGCATTTTACTACATATTGACAAAAAGAGAATACTCTGTTCAAATAGTAGGGACATTCTGAAAAAAGCTAAGACAAAATACATGGTCATGTGGCAGGTAAGTATGTTTTGGAAAGCCACAGACCACATGTGTGCTGGCCTGTAGGATTAACATGGAGGTGATGTTGCCTGAGTGATACCATGCCCATGATGACATTGTACTGTAATGAATCATGTCTTTGAGGTGACGCTGGTATAAACCCATACTGTAACTCATATAACAGCATAGCACATCCAATTACATATAGTACATAATACTTGACAATAAATGACTATGTTACTTGTTTATGGTATTTACTATATTTTTATTGTTATTTTAGAGAGTACTCCTTCCACATATTATAAAAAGTTAGCTGGAAAACAGTCTCAGACAGGTACTTAAAGAGGTGAAGGCATTGCTATCATAGGAGACAATAGCTCTATATGTGGTATTGCTTCTTGGGTTAGCTTTCTATCACTGTGACAAAATACCTGAGATAATAACCTTAATGAGGGAAAAGGTTTATTTGAGTTCACAGTTTCAGTGGGTTTTGTCCATGGCCACTTTGATCTGTTACTTTGGCTCTGTGACTGCAGAGTACGTCCTTATGGGAGTGTGTAGCAGTTAGGGACTATCCGTTCACAGTGGCCGGGAAGCAAAATGTGAGCATGAGGAGCCAGGGCTCCAATATCCCCTTCAAGGGCATGCCCAGTGGTGTGACTTCCTCCCACGAGGCCACACCTCTTGTAGTTCCTTCTAGCTCCTAATAGTACCATGTTCTGGGGATGAAGCCCTCATCACATGGACCTTTGGGGGAGGCATTCGTATTCTAACTCTAGTACTCCTGGAAACAGTTCAGTGGGACAAGACGTGGAGGCAGAGGTGATACCCTATTGACCCTGATCCTGTGTAAGCTTAAACTAAGGAGTATGTTTTTGTCTTAGTTTTCAACAGAAAGCCTTAATAAGTAAAAAAAAGATAGCAAAAAGCTTATAGAATAGGGATATAAAGTAAAAAACTTTTTGTACAGCTGTATAACAAGTTTGCAGTTAAGCTAAGTATTATTAGAGTAAAAGGGATTTTAGAAACATTCATAAAGTAAAAATGTTACAGTAGGCTAAGATGAACTTGTTCCTGAGCCAAGCATAGCTTTACAAATTTTGTGTAGCCTGTGTATACAGTGTATATAAAGTCTATAGTAGTGGGTGGTAATATCCCAGGCCATCTCAGTCCCTTACCATTCATCACTGACTCACCCAGAACAATTCAGTCTTATAAGCTCCATTCATGGTGCATGCCCTATATAGGTATATTACTCATCTATGCCTACCAAAACACCACTATGTTACAGTT